TTTCAAACGCTCATAACTTTCTCCAGAGAAACGCTTCGCAGATATGGAAGGCAGATTTGAGATCAGCGTCTTAAACTGCATCTAATAGTATACGTCGCTTCTCGGATCGTCACTTCGACTAAGTATCCTTCCCTTGTTAGTACAACTTTAGAATGTCGAGTAATTATGATTTGTAGTCGTGGTATAGGCAACAGAGATGACCATCGCGGGTTCAATATCACTGGGGTCAAATGAGTTTGCAATCAACCATCCTTTCTATAACTTGCAGTTAAGTCGCGGTGAGATCCTATTTTAAAAGAAACTGGGAGTTGACTACGAGTTAATGATGAACGTTAACTCCGAATTTTTATTAGATTACTACCATCCCAGATCTCATTGAAACATCTCCTATTATGGTTTCTTAACACGCTGATTAGGAATATCGCATCAAGTCTTTTAAATAGGACTTTACCTTAGGATTGCGGTAAGTGCATGGTCGAAAGTCCAAATCACGATTCGGCGTGAAGATAGGACTGCGGGAATTGATACTGAATACAAATGACGTTGTATAGCACGGTAGCACCTTATTTTGGAAACGATAGGTATACGATGTGAAGTCAGACCATAGATTCGTAGAAATATGCCGATAAAAGAGGCTTAATACAACGTTTGATTCTCAGACTTGCATAGAAGAACCTTCATGAAGCGCTGCCATGTAGTTTGACTATAAGTTCATGAGAAATGATTGATTTATATCCATAGCAGAAGTCTCGAGTTTGAGTGGCATTGACAGAAATTTTTTTGAATTAAAGCAGAATTAATTGATACTTTTGAAATGCTAGGTTGAAGACTTTCGGCTCTGAAATCACATAATATACTGTTTTAGTTAGGTGTGTCGAAGATGGTTGTCGACGGGGATCTTGTGCCAACCTCCGGCGTTGAACTGGTTCGCAACTATGCTCGCATTCCAATAATGACAGGAGTAGCTCGTAAAGAGTGGGCACACAAGAAGCGTGAGTACTAAAATATACCGAGGATACGATAGATGACAATGGTTCCGTTTTTAAGCACAGTTTTACAACTTGCATCGGAAGTCTACGCTAACAGCTGAGGAGTCCGGTGAAAGCGTTTTTCGCATAATAGAGGGTTCATTTCATGACACCTCAGCTACTAAACTCAGTAACTCTACGCTTCATCTTGTGGCCAACGCTTCATTTGTGAGGTACAATAGAAGCATCATAAGATAACGAGCAGTATGGGTTCCTTGTTTCAGGTATATCGATGATCCATCAAACACTTATGAGACCAGCCGCGTGGTTTCTGCATTGCAAAAGGTAAAATACGCCGTTGCAACTTAGTTAATCTGTAGAATATAAGCAGAAAGAATTTGTAAGCTGTCTTCCAGAACCTAATGTTTATAGTCATCATCTACTATAGAGACATGCAACCATGTAGAAAATTACAGTCTGATAACGTGCGGAACCTTTTTCAGCTACATGAACTGGACTAAACTGGATGTCGAATAAGTTCGCGCGGTTTTTTTT